CCTTCCTTGCTACCAGTACTGCCACCAACAGTAAAAATCAAACATCAAACACTTTCATTCCTCTGTACTACCAACTGAGAGACCAAGCTAAGTGCTAGTGGCTTACCTCTGTTATCCTAGCTACTCACAAGGCTGAGGTTTGAAGATCTCAGATCAAATCCAGTCGGGCAATAAAATATGAGCGACTCTTAGCTCCAATTAATCAGCATAAAGCCACAAGTGGAGGTATGGCTCAAGTGGTAGAGCACTGTTCTTAAGCAAAAAAGCTAAGAGAGAGTACTCTGGCCTTGAGTTCAAGCCCAAGTATGGGTGCCCACCTGTGCGTGCATGCATGCACACACTCCCCCTCCCCCCACTCACACAGACTCACCACTAATGACATATAGTGGGGTAAATCTGTAGTCTCTTTGTACCTATAGGAAGATAGATTACAAGCAATCCCTTTTATGTAGTTCAACAGGAATATGTTGTATATTCAGTTATCTGGAACTGTCCAAGTCATGGGCATCTTTTTGTTGCAACAAAGTTTTGAAAATTGCTATTTTCTACAGGCATTAACAGAGAAGTAAAATTCCTTATATGGCAAACAACTTTGGAGTACTTTCTAGGTCTCAACAAGAAGCAGTGACTTCTTAACCATTTACTAACCTTCACCTACTTTTAAATGTGAAACTAAAGGATTAGATACAGGCAGTAATTCAGTCCACTGCTTTCAGAGACCTAAGGAGGCATTCCCTAGAAATTTCTCCATGATTATTTCCACAGCAGAACATTTAGAATTTTATTTCAGTGTACACAAATACCCTACTAAATTACTCGAGTATCATTTTTGAACATGTATGGGTAGATGTGGAAACCTGATGACTTGTATCTGAGATGGAAGATAGGACAGCATTTTGGGTGTATGAAACAGGTAATTTTACTATTTTGCAAGACATATAGTTCCAATAGATAGGCTGAGTTTGCTATCACTGAACATAGTAAAATTTTTCCTGATTCTGAGAGTCTTAAGCCTGTGCATTATAAAATCTAGCACCTGACCCTAGAACAGGGCAGCTATTACCTAATTCTTACACTGAAACTCAAACTAGAAAGACACATCTAATTATAACTCTCTCTCCTTCTATGCAAAGGTATAAAGAAAAAAATCTTTAAGAGCCACCATTCTGTTTTATGAAATAAGTGGACTGAGTACAGATAGAACCTTGTGATGATAACTTAAAGTTTTCCTAAGAAACAATTCACATGCTAGAGAGTAAAGCACATTACTCAGCTCAAAGAGAAAGCTAAACAATATTATGTAACACCTGAAAATTAAAATTTAAGAATTTTTTTCCTGTGATAGAACTGTAATTAAATTGTATTGAATTGTTTCCTCTAATGGCAGCCATTTTAATTACATTTTAATAGATTGGCAGCCACAACTTATAGTTTCATGAAGCAAAGTAAAATTACAGTTTAGGAAGACATTTAAGAAAAGAGACCCATCAGTGCAGATGAGAGGTTACAATATATTCCCTCATCCCTGAAGACCCTCACAGTAATTAAGTATATAGAACAGACAGCCATTAGAGCTAACAGTAGGTGTGCTTGCCACCAATCAGCACTAGATTATTCTTTGAATCCATAGATCTGCTTTCCAGAAAATATGTACAACACTAAATAAGAACTGGAGCTTCCAAAACGTATGTTCTACAGCTTTTCCCAATGCATAGTTTCTATCAAATGTGCAGCCATTACACCAATACAATGAGACATTCTGTTTTAAGATTGCATTACATACTTTTTCTTATAACTATTTCTTATGGAACATTATTCATCTTGAGAACCCTGCTGTATGTTTGGAAAATGAACATCATTTACACAAACTAAAATTAATATCTGAAAACTGATTCATGTACAAGATAAATGCATCTGCAAATGAGATGCAATAAACAAGGATCTTAATAGTATGCATCTGTATCTATTTCATATGCATCTGTATCTATTTCATACTACATTATGAAAATCAGAGAGTAAATCACGAAGATTAACTCAGACCAAATGAATATCATAGGCACTTATATTAGAAAAGAAGAACCAAGAATAATCAGTCCCTTTGTTAGCTCGAGGATGGGGAAGAAAATGGGCCTGTGGCTATTACATACAAGTTTTCACATATCAAAACAGCTAAAAAATTTGAACTAACTTAAAAACAGTAACACTTAAATTTTTACAAATCACATGTAACCAAAAAGTTATAAATTTGGAGGAGAGTTATCTGGTACTATGAGAAGATTTTGCAGTCTTCTGGCTGACAAACTAATCAGTCCAAACGTCACTGCCAAGAAGCAGAGTGACTTGGCTAAGACCCTCTCGCTGTACACTTTCATCACATGAAGGCTTTCATGCCAAGAACTTCTGTATTTTTTTCCTGGTGTATTGGCCATTGCCAGAAATGGACTCATCGAATCCACTGGTGCTAAGGAGTTAAGCATCTGAGATTTAATTTAACAGTTTCAGCTTTATTAAGCTGTCACAGAGCGGCCCCACTTTGATAACAGTAGCTGCTCCAATTATGGCTTGGTTTAGGGTTGACAAGTATAATGATTCATTCGTGGCACATGAGAAGCAATAAAAGGTTGTTTTGCATTACAGCTTTAAAAATGTGGGCACTTTTTTCATTTAATTTGTCACTTAGCTTTTGCTAAGAGGACATTTAAATTGCAGTAAAAGGCAAATGGGGCTTTTAGTTTAAATGTAATCCCCATATTTAAATGATCTGTAATGGTGCAGTGTTGGAGTGGGAACACTATTGTCTCACAGTGGGTCCTGATGGTGACATGTGACATTTGTATTCAGGTCCTGTATTATCCATGTGGCTAAAGGGCTTCCAATTTCATTTCACAGCCAGAAGCCTGCAGAAAACACCAATTAACTTGCAGATCCCATTTGCCGACAAAACTCAGCCTCTTCTCAATGTCTGGCATCTGGCAGTGCTCAGCATTTAATTCCAAAGCAGAGCCTTGAAGCAATGTGAGCCCTGCGTAGGGGCACAAAGTCAAATTCTCCCATTTTATTAGGAAGCAAAGCCTTTCTTTTGTAGTCTAACTTCTAGTTAATTTTTTGGTGAATGAATATTAAGATGTGAAAGCTATTGTTACTTCTATATGGGATTCTTCACAGAACTTATATCCCTTTAATATAGTAAGTGACATCTGCTTACCAGCAGACTACACAGAAATATTTCTTATAGCCTAATAATGACTGGGAAGGAGGTATTAGAAGGAAGATACCAGACAAAAATTTGCTCCTCATCCTGACCTGATAACAAATAATTCATATAAAGATTAGTTCTTAATTAGCCTAAGGATATGGCTGAAATCAGCTGGTAGAAACTTTCACCCAATCAGAATTTATATTTCTAATTGAAAGCCTGACAATTTTCAAAACTAACTTGGAATAGTGAGTTGTGACTATGAATCACATGTGAACAGTCCAAGTCTTATTTGACACTATCAGTTGTACTTTTTTCTTAGCCAAAATATCCAGATGCTATTTTCTTCCTAATCAGTTATTTGTAATTCTGCTTTCTAAGCACCAAAGCTCCATTAAATTTTATTCATGTAATAGTAATCCAATACTCTTTCTTTAAATGATCCCCTTCATTATAAATGTTAATGCTTTATAACTTTATGAACCAACTAGTCAGCTCAACATATAATACAGAAAGACAAACTACAAAGGATTTACTTGGCAAAGTAAATCATTTAGTATTCTATGATAACGTTTTTTTAAAACATGTACTACCCTTGTGTTCTTACATTGTGTCCTCATTGCAATATATAAAAATGATCTACTATGTTTTAAATTGCTTAGGAGAGAGACACTACTACCATTATTTCAGGAGGCCAAAGCCAACTATGAAGATTAGGCCATTACAAAATACTTCTTAAGAAGTGCTAGTTTAAAACATTAACAAATATATCAATCATTTGGCAAATGACAAATATACAGAAAGAATCGAGAATTTCTATTCTTGAATACATATACTTACTAATATGGGAATACTGATGTCAAATCCTTACCAACCTTTTGTATAACCCTAAATAACAACTTACAGAAGTCTCCTGGCCTCCCTGAATTCAGATTTGTCATCTGTAAAACAGTTCAACCCAAAAGTCTCTTCCAATATGATCACTTCTTCTTGGTGTAGTCAATAAGCATGAAGTGGGCCATCAATGGCCAAGAGGAACTTCATTAAGAAAATAAATACATCTAGCACTTTCCTTTCATGAAAATATGATAGGCAGTGACACATATATTTTTTAAAAATTGGTATTTCAGAAAACATCATTTTGTCACTTACAGAAAGACAACATCATCACTTCCTCAACTCACCAATGAAAACTGAGTGATGAGAATCGCCCCAACAAAATTCTCAGTGTTCTTTTAATGAAGAAGTCTACAGGATTTCTTATTTTTTTCCCAACAACATGTTATATTTGTGTATCTGTAGCCATAAGTGTTTAGGAAATAATACATTTTAGAGTTTCCTATATATTTTCCATTCTGAAGGTCAAATGTTAACCTAAATCTATAGTGGCCACAAATTAAATGAATATCCTACCTATAATTCTGGAGAGAAGAGAAGCAGAATCCAAATTTTAGCTAAAACAAACAAGGGACCATCTCATTAAATAAAAAATTATTTTAAAATAATGTAGCTCTTTTCCAAAAATTTAAAGATATGGAAAAAAACCTTTAAAATTCTTCATGCTCTTACTTTTTTCAAGATCAGACAATTTCCATACCAAAATGCTTCCAAAATTGTTTTATGCAAATGCTAGCCCTGGTTTTTTACTCCTCCTATTCTTCCAACCAGTGTTTAATGGCAACAGGTTCATAGATGAGCATCTGTCTTCAGCAATACTTTGACCACATTCTTAAAAACATTCAATTATGGTCTCCTCATCCACATATAGCTTAATAGTAATTTGTCAAAAAAGGTATTTATTTACCTAGTTCATCCCAGAGCTGCCTGTATTTGTCAGTCATGGCTGTGCCTTGTTGCCTCCAAAGTGACAAGCGAGGGTCAGCCATAAATTGCTCCGTGATCAGGGTCAACATGCGGGCCCCATTGGAGTCCCTCATCTTCAACATTTCCCGCACCTAGTGGGGAAAACAGATAAAAGAATTTTTTTAAAAACTCAGATGTAACATAGGAGATAAACCCTAAATTGTGTGTGTGAGAGAAAAAGAGGGAGATTCTTCACACCCTCTCAAGAACTTCCTCTTAAGCAAACCAAGTAGTTAAAAACCACTTTCTACGTTGCCAAAATTTAAACAGAGAAATAAACATTCATCACTTTATTATGCTTGTTTCCAGAACTTTCTAATTCCAAACAAGTAGTGGTTGTGTTTCACACATCTCATTAAAGTTAATGATTAAATTGTGCTTTCATATGCCTAGTAAAAACATGTTTTTGTGGTCTGTATCAAAACTTCTATCTATCTAAAACAAGTATATATACAAAGCACGCACACGCATGCGCGTGCACCCACACACACACACACACACTCTCCAACAAAAGAGGTAACTAGCCAGGTTCATGATTTGACAAACCATAGAAATGAAATATGGCACTGGAAACAAGTATCTGAACCTAACTAGTTTACCAAAACAGGTTTTAGCAAGGTGCTGCTTCATAGGGATGAAATGGCATGATTTTGCTAGCTTACAGAAAAATCATCAAAACAAAAATCACAAACATATGCCACCTTCCTGCCCTCCAACTGATTGTACCTTAGCAGAACATAAAGCATAGACTACTGAAAACTCTTTAGTGATCTTCTAAATTGACCTGAATATGTTACAGCTTTGAGATAGGAAAATTAACCAATTTAAGCCACACAATTCAATAGTTCTTACTATTCTCCCAGAGTTAGTCCTTTAGTTTTTGAGAAAATTAATAAGTTCAACAAATTCTCTGTCACTAAACTTTTAATACAAGGAGAAGTAACACAGTCATTCTTTACTATTATGGGGAACTAATTCCAGAACTTCCAAGAAATACTAAAACCTGCAGATGCTTAAGTTACTTATAGGAAATGACACAATATTTGCATATAGCCAATATCCTCTCTAGAATGCCTGTGGCAATACTTTCACACCCAGATGTAAGGGTGTTTAAACACCTCATGCTTGCCAGGCAGGCATTCTACAGCTTGAACCACTATTCTGTCCTTTTTTGCACCATTTATTTTTGAGATGAGTCTCACTTTCTGCCTAAGCACATGCTTATTTCATTCTGTATCATAGCTAGGATTACAAGCATGTGACAGTACTTCTAGCTCTTTAATGAAAAGGAGTCTCACAAACTTTTCTGACCGGGCTGGTCTTGAATCTTACTGAATCTTCTCAAACTCAGCTTTCTAAGTAGAAAGGATTACACATGAACCACCAGTACCTAGATTTAAAAAATAAATTCTAATATGATTTTATTAAAATTGTAATATTAGCATTTTAATAATATTAATTGTACAAAGCCATTTTCCATATATGATTAATATACTTTGACTAGAGTCATCCTTTCTTGTTGTCCTTTATAGCTTAGAGAATAATGACAAGAACAAAGAAGTCTACATGTAGCCGGGCGCCAGTGGCTCACGCCTGTAATCCTAGCTACTGAGGAGGCTAAGATCTGAGGATCACAGTTCAAAGCCAGCCAGGGCAGAAAAGTCTGTGAGATTCTTATCTCCAATAAACCACTAGAAAACCGGAAGTGGTGCTGTGGCTCAAGCAGTAGAGTGTTCACCTGAAGAGAGCAGGGACAGCACCCAGGCCCAGAGTACAAGCCCCACGACCAACAACAACAACAAAAAAGTCTACATGTTCAATACATATGCAACCATCATCATAGGCCAAGCTACATTTTCAGTCCACAATTGGTTGAATCTGTCAATGCAGTACCTGTGGACTCAAAGGGCACAGTAATAATCATTCAGATGGGAATGCTTTTGCAATGGTAAGAGGAAATAAACAGGGCTGTAGGTAACAAGCCTCTCTCCATGTGAGTATTCCATAAAGCAGAGTGATGACCACTGACTTAGTTAAACTAAGTTAGTCTCTCAAGCTAGAACCTTAAGCTCTCCCTATTTCTCTTGTGCCACACTTCCAAAATAAAAGAAAGCAGAAAAGAAACACAAATATAAATCTTAGCGGGAAACTATAAATGAATCCATCTATTCCCAATCTGAGTACTGCTATATATGTAACAAATAAGAATCCCAACAGAACACCAGTTGTCTTTGTGGGAAATTACTGAAACAAGAATTTTTTTCAGGATTCTCTATGAAAGGTAAAAGAAAGAAGAAAGAGCAATTGCAGTAAAGCAGCCCACATTTAGAAGATCATAGGTCCTCAGACCTGAACCTAAACGAATAATGGAAATTCCTCAGCCATTTGAGAGTGGAGTCTTGTAAAGAACTCACAAAGGTTGTGCTTCCAAGAGGGTTGTTTTAGTAATTCTACAAAGTTATTCCCAATATGAAAGCACTATAGTCAGAAACAAGTGAAGCCTGAGAGGAAAAGATGGAGTAGTTATTTACTGGATATTGTGTTAAAAGTTTTATATACATTTAGAATACCATTTAATCCTCAAACAAATATGGGAAATAAATCAGATTATAACTGCCACTTATGAATTATAAAACTAAGCCTCAGAAAAGTTAAATAACTTGCCCAAAGATCAAGGGTAACAGCCAGAATCAAAACCCCCATCTGCTGTAACAGATTATGCTATTTTCTAAAATTAGATGTTGTTATTACTTTTCACATGGCATCTATAATATGGATAAAATATAAAAGGACAAAAAAACTGGCTACTCTAGACTGATCTAATAATATATGTTTTATATTATTTCCAGTTGGTCAGTGGACTTTTCTAACATGAGAACATATGGAATACTTCCCATGTATTTGAATATATTTTATAGTACATTTTACGTCATCAGTTTATCAAAAGGTTTAATTTAATGTTTTTATATGTATTTCCAATTACTAACTGGGTAACTTATTTACTAACTGGTAGTTTATTTCATAGTAATGAAACAAACGTTTTATTATTAAACTTATAAAGTAGAGCACTCTATTCATGCAACTCAAGAATGTCTATTGCTTACAGGTAACGTCTTTACAGACTGCTGGCTGGTATAACATGAATCTGAAGTATCTGTGTACTACTAAAGGATGATTAAATCATGTGTGAAATACTTACAAATGTACTTTATTACAAACTAATTCTTGGGAAACTGGTAATCCACATATGGCCTACAGAATAAATCTTTATTATTTCCTGGCCATATCCAGTCATAATGTACCCTAAATATTTTTAAATTAAAAACAAAGAAATAAGTGCAAAAACTTTTAACTATTGTGAAGACTAGACAAGATATTCAACAAAAAAAGTACCAATGAACACAATTATCTGCTCCCTTAATATCAATTTTAAGCTGGGCTTTGGTGGCTTGTGCCTGTAATCCTAGCTGCTCAGGAAGCTGAGAGCTAAGTACTACAGTTTGAAGCCAGCAAGAGCAGGAAAGTCTGAGACTCCTATTTCCAATAAACTACTCAGAAAAAAGCCAGAGTGGCACTGTGGCAGAAGTGGAGAGAGAGCTAACCTTGAGCTAGCTTTGAGGAAAATAAGCTCAGGGACAGCACTCAAGCTCTGAGTTCAAGCCCTAGGATAGGCCAAAAAAAAAAATCAATCTTAGTACATTACTTATAATGTAATAAATGACTATACCCCCAATGAAAAACATACTGCTATATTAATTATTTAGAAAGTCATTTTATCCAGTTTCTAAAAAAATATTTCTAGTACTAAAATAACTGCATAAAGCAACAAATATGTATTCTGTTTACAAGAAACCTCTGGCCAAGATAACCGTAAGCTTTAGGCTATCAATTGTTGGTGGTGAGAATGAATGCTACACAGGATCACTTAACATCACTACCAGGACAACTTTAGAAAGTATGTCACTATCACTTTAATTTTATAGGTGAGGAAACTGACTTAAATAATTTGCCAAGGTCTACATACTTAGATTAGAACTCTAAAATCTGTATGACTCTAGAAGCCATATTTTTATGGAATATAAAGATGCTCACATGATTAAAACAAATACATAAGGTATATTAAAGAACATACTTAAAATGTGCCTCTTGAAAAACTGATTATAAAAAGAAAAAGATAGCATGTTAAATAATAAGCTATGTATTTTGTTTTTACTATTAAATGATTATAATTCTCTTAATAGAAACTGAAAGAGACAAAAAAAGGTCCCACATTTTGTCAAAGGTCACTTAATCAAATGAAACCTTGCATTGCACACAAAAGTTTCTAATTGTTTCATTCACTTAGACTATGTTCTCTAATTTCAAGTCCTTATCCTATTATAAACAAAGATCTTATTGTACACAAATACAGAGATTTCTTTAAAAATAAACAATCATACCTTGGCAAAGAGCAAATTAAGCTGCTTCCCTGATCCGTGGTACCCGCCCTGGGAAAGGAACAGTTTAACCTGTTCTTGAACCTGCTCTTCATCTAAGTGCCAGCAGTTTTCATCGTCTATACTAGCACCTGCTGTTGGATCAGGAGCACCTAGAAAGAAAAAAGCAACACATGTGCTAGATAAAAAAATCTATACTCCAAAGATTCTGATAACAAACTTGAAAATGATTAAGATTGTCTATCTTTGCCTAGACATTTTTAAAGCCAATCTTAATTTCAATTATACATACAAATTATGACTGAAAGTAGTCATTCTTTTATTTTCAAAATTTTCCTGATCTGCACTAAGCCAAATATAGATTACTTTAGAACTGAAATATTTCTATATTTAAATTTAAGATTCTTTAAAGAGATGAATTTTTACAGGTTTTCTAAAGAATTAACAAGTTACAAAAATGTCTTATTGTAAATAGTAATATTTATTAAAAATAACTATGAGGGCATGCTAGAATAATGTTTTCTAAGCCATCAGAACTCAGCAGAGTATTTCACTTTTTACTATGTTAATTCAAGAAGCCCTCACCATTATCTGCTATCGTAAAAATGCTGACATAAGTCTTTAGTTGCAGAAAACTGAAGATTATAAAGGGAAATCAAGCCACATGGGAACAGGCAGTGCAGCTGTTGTATTACACTAGGTTGTAGTATCACCTTGCCAAACTGCATAAATATTTTATTGCTGAAGTACGCGCAAAAGATAACAGCTATGTAATAAGCTCTTAGCATGTAGACTATATTAGAAATTAAACATAGGTAAGAACTAAGTTTTATCGTTTGCTAATAAAATACATTTAAATGGTATTTTAAAGCCTAAGACTTACAAGGAATTGAAAAAAATCTAAAACCTTTTCACTTTTAATGTATCATCTCATCATCAATTTGTAGGTGTGATTTTAATATAGTTTTCTTGTCCTTTAATGAGGTAATGCAACCTCAACTATCCAAGGGAAATAATCACTAATATCTGCTTAGAAACAGAGTTTACAAAATCCTAGTAAAGGAAGGCAGGGCAAGAACTTGATTTAAAAAAAGTTTCATTCATTCGTTCATTCAGCCAGTCAGCAAAATAAATGAATGTCTGACGGTGCCAGTCTGCTTCTTTCTAGACTTAAGGATAGAGTAGTACTCAAAATAGACAGAATTCCTGATCTCATCAAATTTACTGTTTCTAGTACAGAGGTTTGCAAAGATTTTTTTAAACAAATATCCAAAACAAGAAATATATTTCACAGCATGTTAAATATGTTTATGCGCATTTGTACTATTAATCTGAAGGAAAAGTTGAATGGAAAAATATTAGCCCTACTTTAAGTGTACAGCATGATATTCTCTCTCATTTTTTTAAAAGAACCTGTCAAGTTACACACCTATAATTCCATCACTTGGGAGGCTGAGGCAGGAGAATCTCAAATTCAAGTCAGCCTGGGTTTCACTGTGAGATCCGATCTCGTACCTGTTGCAATCTTTCAAACATAACTTAATTGAAACCCACTATCTGAAAAACACTGTTGTATGTGAGACAAATAGTAATTTAATAATCATATGACTATGTAGAATAAATATTTGCTTAGAGAAAAAAAAAGCCTGGGTCCAGAGTATCTATCAGAGACCTCTTAGTTGGTCTTCAAATTGCTAGGGTAAGACACCAAAGAACTATATAACTTAAGTGGATTAAACGTTAACTAAGGGAAGAGAAATGAGGGGACAATTTGTGAGACCAAGAAAAGAACAACATGGAGGAAGTAAGAAACCCAACAGTAGAGGATGAGGGGAAGGCAATCCTACAGAAACAGAAGCCAGGCCCTGAAGGCCTTTGTTGCTGAGGAGCTTAGACTGGGCTTTTTGTCTTTGTTTTGTTGTTCTTTTTCCTTGAGAGTAATGGATGGGAAGATTATCTAAAGTGGAAGAACACTAGATCAGAAGTGGAGTATGTATGTCCTACAGGTAGTATTAGAAGGCCCACAAAATCATGTGTTTCATTACAGGAGACACGCTTCTTGTTGACTTCTACTGACCCATTCACATGTATTGATAATTTTGTAGGGCTCAAAACTAATGTTATAATATCCAAATTGCCATGGAAGAAAAAAAAGTTACTTACTCTGCCATGAAAGACAGTGTGCCTTATATGAATCCGTTTCAACACTCCTACCATGAAATATTAATTATGCAGCCAAAAAATGAATTGGAGAGTCTCTATATGCTACAATAGCAAGATGTCTAAGATACATCATTGAATGAAAAAATTCAAGGAAAACAAAAAACATTGAAAAGAACTATGCAGATGCTATTTTAAAAGAATGAGCTGGGCGCCAGTGGCTCATGCCTGTAAACCTAGCTACTCAGGAGGCTAAGATCTGAGGATCATTGTTCAAAGCCAGCCCGGGCAGGAAAGACTCTTATCTCCAGTAAAACCAGAAGTGGCACTGTGCTCAAGCGGTAGAGCACTCACCTTGAGCTGAAGAGCGCAGAACAGCGCCCAAGCCCAGAGTTCAAGCCCCACAACGGACCAAAAAAAAGGAATGAGCAAGAGGATACTAGTTTCCCCAGAAATAAGGAGGGAAAGGCTGTTCTAAGTAGGGACTGGGCAATTAGGCATATGTCCAAGCTCCATAAGAGCAAGGATTTTATCCACTCTGTTCACCAATAATTCCTTCCAACAAACCATTATCAGGTAACCAAATACTCAAAGGAAAGGAATTAAAGGAGAAGAGTAAAGTGCATGGAACTATTTTCTTCCTAAAAAAAAGGACTTTATATGAAAGGATAAGAAACATTGGATAGTATCCTGACACATAGGACCTTGTTTCCCCCTCATAGTGTAATTCGGGTTATTATAGATCCTAATGCCCATTCCACAGGAAAAACAAACTCTGAGAGGTGATGGCTTGTCCCACAGCAACACTAGCAGTTTCTTTCTCCTGCCAATGAACATACACATACATTGAACACTTTGGAAGCTAAAGTTGAACCCTAAGGTCATCAAAGCATCCTTAAATCAAAGACAAACAGTATGTTTTCTACTGTAAGGAAATTTTAGGCTACACAATGCTGCAAGGAGTAAACTATTAGGTCTGCAAATTTATCTTAGAACAATTTGAAGTCCCTAATTCACTCTCTGATTCTAAGGACATTCTCATTACACAGCCTTCTGCAGAAAGACAACTACAGAGTCTCTATATAAATGTACTGGAAGAAACTTTCTAAACAACTACAGAATCTCAACCTTTTTTTTTTTTTTTTTGGTCGGTCATGGGGCTTGAACTCTGGGCCTGGGCGCTGTCCCTGAACTATTCAGTTCAAGGTGAGTACTCTACCACCTTGAGCCTCACTTCCGGTTTTCTGGTGGTTAATTGGAGATAAGAGTCTCATGGACTTTCCTGTCCAGAACCTCTATCCTCAGATCTCAACTTTTTATTTTAAATTCTTCAGAACAACTTGGAATTCTCTGTAAATATGATATACCTTATATCTACTTCTTAAGGATAATTTCAACTAGCTACTCATTATTCATTACCACTGTTCTTTATGATAAATTGAGATAACTAAGCCCAATTTATTAAACACAATAGCTAATTCCCCAGATTTTGTTGTCTTTTCCTTTGCTTGTTTTCTGTTAGGATTTCCATCACAGAAGAGAATTCTTAAAGTTATGCCCTAGAGCCGCTTGGCCAGAAGCTGTGTGGTGTTGGCTGAAGGCATTCAGCTGCTTGGGCCAAAACCCTTTAAGAGAAATTTAGAGCACAAAAATACACAAATATTGTAAGTAGATCTAAATTTGAATTGGAGAAAAATCCAAGTATTCTCTTATGGCCTGAACTGGCAAAGTGGTCTACATTCACATACCTTTCAATACTCAAAATGCTCATTCTTTTCAAGCTAAGAGTAAGAAGTAAAAGGAAGAAGAATCCAGGGAATGACTCAAACCAAATGGTACATTTTACCTTAAAGCCAGAAAGGGTTCAAAACATTAATATACACTTTAAAATTTTTACATTTTGAAATTGCTTCCATAAATCATTTAATTTACATACTACAGATTCTGGGTTTTGTCCAAGTATCTGACAATAAACATACAAATATATAAATGATGTGATTTTTAAGAAAATTTGTTTGGGTTTTAATTTTTTGGTAAGGAATTATTAGAATTCACTTACTTCTTCAGAGTATTAAGGGAAAGAGTGAAGGCACTGACAGAGAAAAGTGGCCCATGGTTAAATTTCCCCACAAATAATCCATGAAGGCTACACAGAAGTTGAAAGGTTAAGCAGGTTTCTGAGCCAGCATTCAAATTCAGAAGATTTCAATTTTAGGCACAGTTTAGAAAAATTATGCATGCTCTGGCAAATTACTTAAGCTCCTAAGGTCTCCATCTCCTTAACATTAAATTCTGTATTTGGGGATAAAAACTTGCACAATACATATCTGAAGTCTTCTGATGCACTGTAGAAGGTTCCCAATTTAGCTATAAGTATGAAAGCAAAGATAACCAGTGATGATAAAGTATTTTCCCTATATACTTCTCAACATCTTAAGAGTGTAATATATGTGCTATACATTTTAGACCAGGGAACTGTATTTCTACAACAATCTTCTGCACAGCCTAATAAATTCAAGTGCTGAACTTTAATGCTGAGGCTCAACCATTGAAAACCTAGATATGTTTTGATTATGTACATTAAAGTGCTGCTTAAGCCTTATATAAAATATAAGGCTTACACACTTTATTTCTACTTGGTAATGGAAAGTATAATCATAGACAAACCACTTAGCATACAACTTTAAAACAGAAATGCAAAGAAAAACATAATTCATGAATTTGTACTTTTGCTACAAAATATGTCCAGAGTTGGGCAGGTACCAGAATCACTATATAAATTCAATGTCCCATTAAAATGTCTTAAAACATACTCACTTTTTACCCATATTTATATTTATAATTATAAATGCTATAATATTTACAACTGTATAATTAATTTCTGTGGGAATTTTATTACTGAAGCTTAATTCTTCAGGTTCAAGCCTTAAGGGGAAGTGAAATTATCTAGAAGGGAAAATAGTGAAACAATTTAATTGTCTCTCATTCCCAG